TCTCCGGGCTCGACGTGTCCATATTGCTTGTCTACAGGAAACTCATTTCTAGACTACCTCCACCCCAAAATATTTTGATGCACGCTACCCTCGGGTTTTTCAGGCTACTGGCCCTACTAAACAAAGGGGAGTTCTTGTTGCTTTTCACAGCAAAACCCCATTTGTTTGTGTGAAGCGTATTGCTGACCCAAGTGGCAGGTATCTTTTATTACAGGGCACGATTCAGGGTATAGATGTTACAATACTGACCTATTACGCTCCCAATGTCAAACCTGGACCCTTTCTATCACATATCTGCTCCCTCCTGGCAGTCCATCAACAGAGTACTCTTCTGATGGCAGGAGATTCCAATTTAGTATTAAATCCTTCCCTGGATAAATACCCCACAGAGAACTCCATCTTTTCCGCTTCAGCTAAATCATTTAACCGTACGTTACGTACCCATGACATGGTAGATCTATGGCGTAAGTTCCATCCCCGGGGGAAAGACTATACTTACTATTCTCACCCTCATCATTCTCACTCTAGAATTGACCATGCTTTTGTTTTACGTAAACATCTTCCTTTGGTGCGTTCCGTCTCTATCCTAACGGTTCCATGGTCTGATCACGACCCCATTTTGGTGGTTTGTCGATCTCTCCTCTGTAAGCCACCTACTCCTCTTGGATTATGAATGACTCTCTGCTCTCGCTGAAGGAGATTCAGGTGGAACTACTGCGCAAATCCCAAGAATATTTTTAGTTAAACTCGGGTTCTGTCTCTTCTTCAGTTACGCGTTGTGGGAGGCTTACAAGGCTGTTCTTAGGGGCCATATTATTCAGATAGCTTCGAAGCAGAAGAGGGATAGACAACATAAACAGCGTCAGCTTGAATCAAAGCTAGCTTCTGCGGCGGCTCAATTTAAGCAGGTACCGACCCCATCGAACCGTAGGTTATTAGATGAGGCCCGCTTAGAACTGGATCTCTGTTTGACTGATGAGGCTGAGCGTTCTTTGCATTGGACGCTCCAGAAATGGTATAGTAAATCAAATAAACCAGATTTCATGTTAGTACGTAGATTGCGCTCTTTTATGCATCACCCTAAACCGATTTCTCTACGCCCTCGCCAGAATGTTCTTACAAGTAATCCTGTAGCGGTGTTGGAGGAATTCCGGCATCGACTTGCCAGACTTTATACGGATCCCACACAGGCCGATTCTCAGTCTATCTCTGACTTCTTGTCCCATTTGTCTTTGCATACTTTGACTCAGGCTCATAAGGATCTGATGGATTGTGATAAGTTTTGCATTGCATTGCGGATCTGAAGACGGGCAAACGTCCAGGTCCAGATGGATACACGGCTTTATATTACAAGAAATTAGCTGATGTGTTTGCTCCTCACCTTGCCACTATGTACAATGCGGTGAAGGGAGGTTCGACTTTTTCCCCTGACTCTCTGACTGCTAATGTGGTTATGATCCCAAAACCGGATACAGATCATTCCTCATGGGCAAATTACAGGCCAATTTCTCTTATTAACATCGACATGAAAATCCTAACCAAGATCTTAGCCACTCATTTGAATTCTTTCCTTTCTCGTCTGATTAAGAAGGACCAGGTAGGTTTCGTCCCCCACAGACAAGTGGGTGATGCCATCAGACGCATTTTACAGTTACAACATCTGGCTCATACTCGCAAAATTGATATGATGCTCCTATCTCTAGATATCAACAAGGCCTTTGAGACTTTGTCCTGGCCTTATCTCATGTCGGTCCTTCACCATTTTGGCTTTGGTCCCTCGTTCTTGTGTTGGATTTATTTGCTATATACGTCCCCCCAAGCAAAACTAAAATATTACGGTTTTGAGTCCTCAACGTTCCCGATTGACAGGGGAACTAGACAAGGTTGCCCACTTTCTCCCATACTATTTATTTTGGCTTTAGAACCTTTGGCAGAAGCCATTCGTATGCATCCTGATATTAAGGTAATGGATGTAGCTGGTTCTCAACATAAGTTCTCTCTGTTCGTTGACGATATATTGTCAGTTACAAATCCGGGGGTTACTTTGCCAAACCTACTTGCTGTTTTGGATTCCTTTGCAGTTCTCTCAGGTCTCCATGTCATCCCTGCCAAATCTAAGGCTGTCGATTACCCTTTCACCATCAATGTTGGCGACTCTGAAACATTTGTTCCCTTTTCAATGGCTTTCGGCCCTCCTGTATTTAGGAATCAAGCTCACTCCGAATTATGACGGACTCTATCGGGCTAATTTCCCCGCTGTTTTTAGTGATTTGACAGAGATGTTGTCCTCCTGGTCTCACTACCCGCTTTCATGGTTTGGTAGAATAAAAGCGATCCGCATGACTTATCTTCCCAAATTATTGTACGTGTTTCGAGCTCTACCAGTTTCTGTTCCTTCACATATATTGCGTATTCATCAGCGAAAACTTCTGTCTTACATTTGGGGCTCCTCTCGACCCAGAATTAGCAAACAAATCTTATCTGCCTATAAGACCGAGGATGGGTTATCTGTCCCAAATCTTCAGGCTTACTATCTGGCGGCCAATATTGCCCCCTTAGCCCATCTCCATGCATCTCGCAATATTCCCTTGTGGGCTACTGTAGACTTGATGGATTCCCACCCGATACCACTCTCTTCTTTGCCGTGGCGTCCTCCTATTCATCACCCTTCATTCCTTAGTTTGACGTGGACGCTTCGTGTTTGGGATTCTATTAAATATTTTGCTGGCCTCATTTCCGCCCACCTGCCATAACTATGTTTGCTACATAATCCATTATTTCCCCCAGGTCGTGACAATCCCGGACAGTTTGCTTGGTGGCTAGCCCATGGCTTCCATGATGTACATTCCTTGCTCTCCCCCACTAGGATACTAACCTTTGAAATCCTGCGCTCTTCTTATGATATCCCACCGAGAGAGCATTTTGGCTACCTTCAACTCCGCCACTTTATCAGTACATTAATACAGATGCATTCGGGGCCCTACAGGTTGACCCCCTTTGAAAGTCAATGCAGACATAGACCCCATGCTCCGGGCTTAATCTTTCTGGTCTACTGCTCCATTATTTCTTATAGAACGCCTCCGGGTCCATTCTTATCAGCGTTGGTAGTCGGAACTCGGAGTCACTCTGGATCAGCGGGATTGGCGGACCATGACCCAAGCATTATCTAAATGTTCTAGGAATGTTATTCTAGAAAATGCCTATAAGGTTCTTTATAGATAGTATTACACGCCTGCTCGTCTGGCTCGTTTTATCCCCAAATACTCCCCGACTTGCTTTCGTGGTTGTCAACAAATGGGCACTATGGTCCATATTTGGTGGATTTGCCCCAAGGTATGCAGATTGTGGATCAGGGTTTATGCCCTTCTCCGCACAATGTTTCACACAGATATTAAGCGCAACCCGTATGAAGCACTCTTATTTAAACCATTAGTGGGCCTACTTCGTCCTGAATGGTAGCTGGCATCGCATCTATTCATGGCCACCAAGCTGACGATCGCGAAGGCTTGGAAGACGCCCCTCCTCAGCCTCGAGGCTGTCAAAAATCGGATGAACTTTATCATGGTTAATGAAAAGCTGACGGCTATACTGTAAGACACCCATACAAAGTTCCTGCAGACCTGGCTTGATATAGCCCAACTGTCGAGATTCCTTTTAGTTACACAAAGCCCAGGTTTTCATTGTGCTCCATTACTACCTTCTACTGCTGCCTGCACAGAACCCTAGTTTGACCTTCCCCTGCCCCTCTCCATCAGTGCTGGTGTCGCAGTAGCTCAGTGATGGATAAAAACTGAGGGAGAGTGGAAAGACTGGAAAACTAGTCAGTACCAGTGTGCAAAAATGTATTTGCTTTGGAAGAATACATCACCTCTAATGTTGGGTGTCCTACACGTGTGGATGTTGCTGCGTTATATATAAACTATTAGAATAATTTTTTTCACATTTTAGAATGGGGTGCCCTTTTAAAATGGACAGTTTTGAGGCATCCCATTTTAGAATGGGGTGCCTCAAGACTGTCCATAATTTTAAAGGGTGACTCGGGACTGTCTATAATTGTAAAGGGTACCTTGACTGAAAAAAGGTTGAGAAACAATTGTCTAAAACTGACTGACCATCTGTGGTAGGTAAGATAAATTTGAAAAAGATGATTCTTATGCTACAATTTATATATTTGTGAGCATCCTCCCAGTTGTGGTCCATTTAAACATTTTTCAACTTGCACATGCTGATCTGGCATGACCGCCTGCCAAGAGTCTGCTTAAAACAACTCCAAGGCCCCAAGGCTGATGGTGCTTTATCACCTTTGTACGCCTGCATAGAATGGGTATCCAGTCAGACCCCCATTGCATTAATTGCCAGCATGACAATGGGAACATTATTGACTCTGGCAATGCCCCAAGCTTCACATCTATTGGAAGGGTGGTCAACACCATTAACTCTGTTTTAGACCACTGTACCTCTAGACCGCAAGTGTTGCCTGTTGAATTTGCTGGAAAATATAGCACTCAAATTTACCAGGGAGACCATTTCCAGTACCCGATTTGTGGTCCATAAATAGTTTTTGGTCCACTGGAAATCTGCAACACCCCCTTCCTTGTAGGAGTGGATTCGCTGACATGGTGACTCTTTGCAACTGGAAAAATATATATATCAGCATAGGAGGTTGTCCTGGTAAATTTGCTCTGTTTCTGTGGAATCTCATTAGTGACATATGTACACTGTACCATACACTGCTTGAATATTTTGCCTTTGTCAGTGAGTGTATGATTAGGAGCTGTAGTTGGATGTTTTTGCAATGGGTGCCTACCAGCACCGGTCTGCTGTACCTTTGTTTAAATGTTTTCAATAAAACCTTCTTTGATTTAATAAAGATAATTATGTAATCCCACATATTTATCCACCATTTCTTCATGAGAAAGCAGAATAAAGTAGAATGGAGTTTCTGTGTAGGCTGAAAGCTCAGGTTAACACTTAATTGCACAGCACAGGTAATTACGTACATCATCTGTTGTAGCTAGACTTTCACTTGGTGTAAGTTCAGAGTTAGATGCCATCCACCCCACAGAATCCAGAGGCTTGGAACAGTCATGTTTCCGCTCTGTATTTTCAGTCACACGCCTGGTTACAATATCCTGGCAATAAGTATGGAATATGAATTAAACAGCAGTCATATAGAAGCCTAAATATGTGTGTATCAGTTTAAAAAGGTTGCTACCTGTAAAGCGAAAAGTGCCTTTTGTCTCATGTAATCAGAGTTCAGAAGCTGCAGCTCATGGAAGAGCTCAATAAGAAAATGTGGACGGCATTCATTCTGCGAGATGAGAGTAGCTACTTCTGAGTAAATAGTGTCACGTAATGCTTCAAACATAGAGAAGTCGCTTCCAGCTTCTGAAAAAGGACACAACCGACAGCTTTACACGACAATAAAAGACTGGCCTGTAGTCATTTGAATAAATTATAAAGTATTTCTCAGCAGTTGTGAAACAAAAGGGGGCATAAAACATCAGTCCAGCACACAACTGGTCTGTTAAAATAAGCATCTTTTCTTACACAAAAGCCATTCCCCTTCAACTTTGCATCATAGGAAGATCAGTTTATGGCAAACAGTACAAACTCCATTCTGTCAGAATAGAGCAACTTTTTTTTTTTTCTTTTCAAACTCATTTTTTCAAATCAAACTAGAGTCATCAAAGGTGGTCAATTTTCCACACAAATATTCAATAAGAGGGTACAATAGAAGGGTCAGATTATTTTTATGGTTTAACCAGTGAGTTGGACGGCAAAAAAAGAAAGACCCAATTTCCCCATCCACACATTCGTAATGGATAGAGGAATTCTTTCTGTCATTGCATTCTGACAGTGGGGAGACTTCCCTGCCGTCATGATACACAGATCAGTGCTGCAGGCTACAGCCTGCAGCGTTGATTGAGCGGAAATTTTCTAGCAGGGCAGTTGTACAAAATTTGATCAGTAGTTGGACTACAGTGTCTATACATGGATTAAACATTGGTCAGTCTTTGTTGAACTGGCCAAATTCTGATCCATCAATGAACAGCTTTAAAGAGACCTTAAAAGTGAAATGTCACATTGCAGCCGGGGTGAGGAGCCACACTGTGCAGCATCAAAACACTAAGATCAACTGTAGTTCTGCAAGAGACCCGAGATCATGTGCAATGGCATTATACCCATACCAAACTACTGTGCTTTTTACTTTTTTTTCTCCAATGCAGGGTCGCTTTAATATAAGAAACATGTAAGTTTCCACTTTGATAAATTTGACACAATAGCCAAACAGCATAAGAACCCATATTAATGTGCTTTTATTTAGCAGTGCAATGTGTTCCAATGCCTTATCGATTAAAAAAAGGTAGCCACTTTACTGGTTACATTTGCATGCGATAACTACTGGATTACAGCAGAATGATCTAAAAACGAAATTTACCTGAAGAAATGTCTGCAGCTTTACTGTCCTTTCTTAGTCTTTGCAAGTGCTCAGAAGTAATGGGTTTACCTGCACCAGTTTCCTCAGTCTGGGCATGCTTGCTGCTACTCTCCTTGGGTTCAATTATGTTGGAGGCACTGGCACTTTGGAGTTCTGAACAAAAGGACACAGATTGGACATACTAATCACACAAACTGGACATATTGATGTACATTGGTTTTAGTATGACTAGCTTCACAAAAAGGAAAGAGGCAAATGAGAAGAGGTTACAGTTAAATTCAACTTTTCTTTTTTATACATCTGCCCTAAAGGGTGATTTCTCACAGAGAACATAACCACCTGACAATGGCTGGGACACTCTTGGTGTGATCCCTGCACACTTTTTGTGCCCAACGTGAGCATGTCCCTCCCTGTTTCTTTTATTTCTATTTCTGTTGTGGATAATGCAGCAGGAGCAGCTGGAACAAACACGAGTGGAAACACCCAATACTCCCAAAAGGCACAGAAACAGGGTCTGGAATTCTAGCTGACAGATCTCGCTGATGGCTTGTAAAAGACACATAAAAAACTAGTAGCTTATTCAACCCACCATGCTATAACTAAAATACTACAATTATTACATTACATGACAATCAATGACAAAGTACAATTAAAAAAATGTAAAAAAAATACCTAGATTCTTTAATCCTCTGTTTTTCTGATGAGCAATCTTTCGTTTCTTATTTTTGTTTTTTGGAGTTTTGTCTTTTGAAGCCAGGCTGGCTTGGGCTGATGCTTTTAAAGATTTGAAAGTTTTAGTAACCGTTGTTGGATCCACTGGATCAGGCATGCTGCTTAAACTGTCCATGGATTCTTCGTCAAACTGCTTCACTCTGCACGCTGCTTCCGAATGCTTGAAAGAGCATCCTGATGCTGAACACGGAGCATCCATACTGGATGGCTTCTTCTCTTCATCCTTACTTCGGATTTCTTTTTGGATACCCCTATTACGCTCTCCCTCAGCTATTTTAGGAGTGGTGCTAGAAGTACAATTTCAGTGCCAGTGTAAGCTCACCTTTACATCACTCAAAACATGTAGAAAACAATCACAGCTGCATCATATATACTGATACACAGAGCCAGAGAGAAGATTTTCTTATCCTTCAATATTCAACTTTACCCAAGATCTATACCACTCCCTTAAACCCCCCTCTCTCTTTTACTTTTAAGCAGTGTCTGAAGTACTGAAATATTTACTTTGGTGGTAGAAACCACAAGACATTTAATCTTATGATCTAAACCAGTGGTCTCAGAACTTGCTTGCTTTTATCCGGCTCTTGGGGGGGGGGGGGGGGGGGGTTTGGAGGAGGACATTATTCCCTTCACTGTCAGCAACAGTGGGACATAGTTCCTGCCACTGAGGCACTATTTTTCTCAATAACACAAACAATGGGGCACTGCTCCTCCCATCGACACCAATGATTGGTCAGTATTTCACCCCCAATACTAAAGACGGGGCACTATTCCTCCCAATGACACAGATGGGGCACTATTCCTCCCACTGACGCCAATCATGGGACACTATTCCTCCCCTTACTACCAAAGAAGGGACACAATTTACTCCAACTGATGGGATATATTCCACTCCTACTGGCCACATTCCAGCCCCCTAAAGTTTGGGAGGGCACTAAACTGGCCCTATGTTTAGAACGTTTGGAGACCCCTGATCTAAACTGAAGATCTGCGATGAGATCTCAGATGCATGTGACACATTGCTGGCTCCAGTCATCAGAACTCGGCTAAGACCAGAAGCCAGCTGCTCCAGCTCAGCTCAGAGCTCCAGCGAGCAGACTGAAAACTGAGCAATGTGATCGTTCAGTTCTAGGGCTTACAGCCAGTGGGGGACAGGAGAATATTATGTATGTTTATTGTTTTGAAAACCCCAATTATCAGCTTTATCGTTGTAAAATAAAATTTAAAAGACAGAAACTGAGATGCAAGACTGCAAGTGTATTAATTCAATGAGACTTTCACCACAGCTGATACTAATGAATGCTATTTTTAAGTTTAGGTTCAGACTGTGAACCGCTTGTTAACCCCACAGGAATCGCACCGCATTCCTGTGCAAATCACATGTGATTCTGTGCAGTGCCCATTCATTTTGAATTATTAAAATTGCACCGCATCTGCATCAAAAAGGAGCAGGCAGCTTTTCTTTTTTTTTTTTTCCTTTTCTTTTTGTAATTCGCACTGGAACCAAATTGCATGGGTGTTTATATCCATGCGATCTCGTTCAGGGAAACGCACTGCGTTTGCAACCTGTTTTTGGGGTGTCAGAAGCTTTCCATTGACACCCGCAGCAGATTGCGGAACAGTGCCATTGCTTCCCGCACTGCATCTGTGTAAACCGGGGCTAAAGATAAAATTTAATGGTTTTGTTTTTGAATGAAAATGCTGGTTCATAAACACATGAGAAACACCTCCTCCTCTGTTTATGTAACATTTTTCAAAAACTCAAGACAGATAAAGCAACTTTTCAAAAAGTGAATTTAAAAAAAATCAGAAATCAAGCTATTTAGGCGGAAAGCATAAGTGCTGCACCGACTATTTTCATTCGCCTCTGCCACTCTGAGGCTTCATCAATCACCTGGCAATTCTCGGGCATATGTGACACTACCCTCTAATATCCACAATTTAGCCCAATGCAAATACTCGACATGCATAAAGTTTGCCTTTACATAGGTTTTTCACACAGTTAGAAAAGTAGAACTAGTGAGAAGGCAAGGGCAGTCAGATTTGGTACAAAGGGGCTTAAAATCAGATTTATGACAAGTTGCACAATACCTAGAAAATTAAATACTTTTTTGAAAGATGTGTTAATTTCATCTTGAATACCTCAGTCTGTCCCCTGCAGTTGATGAATTACTTTCAAATGGCTTTGGGAAAGCCATGTACTCTGTCTTCCCTGAAGTGTTTGGATCATGAGACTGAAGAGGCACATCAGTATGAGAGTTAGAAGCCCGAGTGAAGTCCCCAATTCCAGGTTGAAAGATTGGATTAAAGTTCACACCTGTACCAAAACAAACAGGCACGTTTTCAGGAAAAGCATGCAAGAGGTTCAACTTAAAGTTGGCTATACAACTAAAAAAAAAAAAAATTGTTCTTACTGAAAAAACCTATTTAAAGAAGGGGGGAAATGAAACCATGCAGTTCTTTCTAATAACCCTCAGGATTCCTGAAATTCTCATTTAACACTAGGCACAAATTTCAGTGTATCCAAACTGTAAAATGTAACATATTATAGCTTACCAGTTTTATGTGGTGGCTGCATTAGTTTTCTTTTTCAGGCATTTTTCCACTTGGTGATCCTGTGTCAATCACAGATTTGACTGTCTCTGAGAAGATTTTGGTTGGTGTGAGTGAAACGATGGGGCTGTAGAGATTTGAACTCTATTTTGTATCCCTTTGAAACCACAGACCTGCAATGTTTGTGACACTGAGAAAGGCAAACTATAAACAGACGCCCGCCCCCAGATGAAGACTGGGGAAAGCGATGGGGCACTCTTCTTTTTTGTGGAGGTAGAAGCCCCTGAAAAAGGGGGTTTAGGAATCTTTCACTGTGGAAGAAGTACTTTACCTCCTGTGATTTCTTTAAAGTGGTAGTAAAGTCCAGTTTTTAACTTGCACCTATAGGTAAGCCCATAATAAAGTTTACCTGTAGGTACAACGAATAGCTCCTACATTTCCATAGTTTAGGAGACATCCACATTTTTAGCAGTCAGTGACATCACTGGCACATGTGGCAACCATTCAGAGTGCTGTGGTGCGATCATGATTCTGGCAAGGGGGAGTGCCGTATTCGCTGCCCAGCCAAACGGCCGGAGTGTGTGAACCCAGAAGAAATATCGGGTGAAGATGGAGGTCCTGTCAATGGCGACAGCGTGTCGCTGGAGGGATCGGCTTTACAGGTGCATACTAGCACATTAACCTGCAGTTGGACCAGTTTGTTTGTTTTTTTTCTATTTCAATATGTTTATTGATTTAAACAAGCTGTATAGATTAAACAAATCGGCGTTGTGGGTACAAAAAAGAACAAGCTGAATACAGTGATAAAAATGATGTCCAAGAAACACAATGGAACAAAAAGGTAAAGATGTGATATCGTTTCTAGAGCGCATCGTGGACCAGTTTGAAAGATCAAATCAGGACAAAAGGATCTTAACCAGATTGTCCCCCCCCCCACCCCAAGAGACTTTACTTTTACTAAGAATTTGTCAAGTGCCTCACTAAAAAAATGTCCTGATTCAAAAGAGTGTACCTCTGAGCTGGTGTTTGCAAGCAGTTTCAGCTGGCCAGGCTTTTAGCCATAGGATTCTGGACGCTACCAAAGCAGGAGTGACGTAATTGTGGCCCAGCCAAACAGCCAGAGTGTGTGAACCCAAAAGAAACATCGGGTGAAGAGGTTAGCCATAGAATTCTGGACATATGGCCAGAAATTATGGAGATTTGGGTCTTTGTGACTTGTTCTGGGGCATCAATACAAAAGAATAAAGCAGTGGAGCAGAGTCTGCAAGTACTCTGCCAAGGTTGGATCCTAGAAGACAGAATCGTGCTGTTTTTTCATTACCCTAGTCCAAATAGCTGTGGTCTGGCAAACAGAAAAAAACAATAACAGCCAGTTGGCAAGCTGGGCATGCATGATTAAAGAGAATGTTTAAAAGTGTTTCAAAATGTTCTTTCAGATGAATCTTTAAATGAAGGAACATCTTTTACAGCCACTCTAAGGTGAATGTTTGAGGCTGCAGGATTTTATTTTTTTATGAAAAGGGAATGTCATTTTTGACTTAGCAGGTCTCTTAGTACCCAAGGGAGAATGACGAGAGAGGAGAATGAAACACAACCATGCAAAAGCATCTGCACACAGCAGGGATGAGCATATGTACAAAAACTGCATGAAGCCATAACATGAGGTGAAACTGAGGGTGAGAAATCTTCTGCAGCCTCCTCTAATACTGCCTCTGGGTCCTCTTCATTCTCTTCTATGTCTGTGTCCCCTAGAGGAGGCATTTCACTTTTTGATTCTGGCAGAGAAGGCAGGGGTAGAGAAGGAGCTTGGCACTCGTGCTCTGGACAATGATAGTCGTTATTTGTTCAATCTGCCTTGGTCAGAAAGGCCAAGTGATGTGTGTCTGAAATAGAGCTAAAATCGAATGTAGAGATCAGTGAATGTTTGCCTGAATTAGTTTCCCTGTGCCCGGTTACCGCCATTGCCATTGGTGAGGGCATTCTCCTTTGACGTACTCAAGGAGTACGGTGCAGAAATGGCGTAAACAAGTCTACGAAGACGTATGCAGCAACGCAGGTGCTTACTGTCCTGTAACAAAGTCCTTGTGGCAAAAGAGCAGTAGAAGTTCATGTCACTGGTCCATAATCAGGATCCAGGTTTTGCACATCACAGCAGGCATAGCTCTAGATGGATTTTCAATGTGTGGGTTCCATAGGGATGGACCACAGCCCTGGACATGTATAGCACCCTCTGGCTAACTACATGTATTGCACTAAGTTCTAAGGTGAGGGCCCAAGCAGCATCCAGTGCCTGAAGCAACATTACATGCTGTCCCCACAGCATGGGGTCCGGATTTGGCTCCCAAGTTTTTACTGAGGTTGCACCAATCCAGATGTGCTGCTTCCATTGTTTAAAGACAGAGAGGAGTTGATTGAATAATAAACAAGTGAAGCAAATGATCTCTCTGTAAGCGAGAAGAGGTCCAACACCTTCGGACACTATAAAAGAAAAAAAAAAAAAAAAAAGATGTCTCAGAGTGGGGTAGGGTTGTAGGGTGTATACCCAGGGGATGTGTCCAGAAAAGATTTCCCAGGGTCCGAGCACCTAACGATACCAGCCTATAACCCAGGGTCTATGAATATCCAGCTGTGTCGTGTCTTGTATTGTACGAATAAGATATAAAAATGAGTAAAAAAAACTAATCTGAAAGTTATTACAGACCATTCTTTGCATTTTCCTATGTTTGCAGCATTTTGCCTACTACAAAAATAACAGAACAATGTTACCCTTTAGAAACACTACAGAAAAGTTGCCAATTAAAAAAAATAAAAAAAGACCATTAAAAGTTACTACATACCAGGAACCATATTGGGGAAGCTTCCAAAGGGAGGCATGCTGAAAACATTCATGGGTGGTGGGAGGAAGCCAAAACTGATCAAAAAGATTAGGAGACGCAGGTGGTGCTGCGCTGCATTCTTGAGGCTTCCTCTGCTGGCTGTTCTGCTGCATGGGCTCCTGCTGCTGGTGCATTACATCACTTAGCATCTGCTTAAGCCTAGAAAGATAAAAAAGCCACCTCATACACAACACCATAATTCAAACTCCAAAAAAAAAAAAAAAAAAAAGTATTATTTTGGTAAAAGCTGATCAGGACACTTTGGCTTGCTAAACAGCAGGGCATTCCTGCACCCCCTTCTCCTCTCTTCCTGGATTAACAGTCTTCACTGGCAGACAATTCATGTTCCCATGAATGCACACAGCCTAGCTCTGGAGGGAGCCCCTATAGCACATGGCTTGCTATGGGGCACTCGCAAGGAGAAGGAGAGGACAGCACCAGGGAAGACCACCAAGGAGGAAGTATAGGACCAGCTTTGTGCAACAGAAACATCTGTTTCTGCAGATCAGCGCTTAAAGAGCAGCTGACAAACAGTTCTGCAACACCATTTGGACTTAGGCAGTCGATCTAAAAACAAGTCCTGACACATAATTGCAAGCATGTGGAGTGGAGAAGAACTGGTGACATAAGAGGTAAAACCTAGGTTTTTGTGTGCTTAGATATTATGGTATATCATTAAAAGAAAAGTTTGGGGTTGTTGAAGTGGAAGTAAAGTCCACTGTTTAAGTTCTACCTACAGGTAAACCTATAATATTAAGGCTTACCTGTAGGTACAGTGAATATCTCCTAAACGTGCACTGTTTACAAGACATTCACACAGCATGCAGGCGGTGATGTCACCAGCGTATGCTCTCTGAAGGGACGGCGTACGCGTGGGAGTGATGTCACTGCAGCTCCAGCTATTAATAATGCCAGAGCCTGCGAACCCGGAAGGAAGACCAGGTGAAGATGGCGGTGAGTCATAACAGCGTAGCGCTGGAGGGCTCTGTGTACAGGTAAGTGTGATAATGTACTAGTATGCAGTGCATACTAGTACATTATGACCTAACACTGCATGGGCCCATTATTTAGCAGGCGGTTTATTACCAACTTAATACAAAAAAAAAAAAAAAAAAAAACAAAAACATGCATGCATGCATATTCGCTTCATTGCTGCAGCATTGACCTGATGCTGCAGCTGTTCCCTGCTGGCTATAAGACGGAAAAACTGAGTGATCACATGACTGCTAATTACTCAGTTCTGGGTCAGCTCTGAGCAGAGAGCTATGACTGTCAGTCAATGCTCCCTTTTCTGCCCATCCTGCGCTCACTGAAGTGCCAGGCAGGGTAGGTGGCGGGAGGAGCTGGCTCTTACTCTCAGCAGGACGCTGAAAGGCTGATCCTTCCAGAGCATGGAGTGGCTCAGTGGCTCAGTGACATCGGGCTTTGGTCCACTGTCTGTTGATATTGGGTCACAGGAGAGCTCAAGTGCGCTCCTGTGACCCACAAAAGGCACATGGCCAAAAAAAAAAAAAAAACTCTGACCATACTGCTCTCTAAGAGAACACTTTACTGGTTACATACTATTTTGAGAAATAACCAATATACTGAGTAACCTATGGCAAACATTTACATTATGTTATACATTTGTGGGAAAACTCTAGATTTTCTTTTTAAAAGGAAAATTGTTCCATACCTGATAACATTGTTCTGCTGCCAGTTAAGCTGAGTAAAACACTGGTTCAGCTGGTGCATGATGAGGTGGATTTGTGACGTTCCCATGTTACTAGGCATCATGTTGTATGGATTTGTAAACAAGTTTTGTAGGAGATAGTAAAGAGACTGAAAAAAGAAAGCAAATACCAATTTGGGCATATCAATAAAGAAATTAAAAACAGGGTTTATTTTATGCATTCTAAATAAACTATTTCAAATACCTGTCAGACGTTCATGATTTAAAAAAAAAAAAAAAAAAAAAAAGTACCATCCAAAGAGCCAACATCGTAACAGGGAAGGAAATGTGAGTATATGAATGAAGGAGATCTGATTCTTTTTTAGCACACAACCTCTTTTGGGTGGTACTTGTTTGAAAATACATTCTGTGTACTCCATGTACTATATGCAACCTAATTCTCATATACTGCAATTTAAAAAAAATATCTATATCTATCTCATATATAATTAATACAATACAGAGACACTTATTTCATGCTACAGCTAGAGAGAATAGCTGTTAGGAGGAGGATGGTGCAGGATCTGGCCACTTATCTTTATTGATACATTTTGTTTTTTTTTGGCGGGAACATTTAAGTAGAACTATAGGCAAAACTTTTTTTTTTCCATTTTGGATAGAGTAAGGGAGGGTTATAACCCCTGCCAGATTATTTTTCACCATCTAGATCCCATTGTGGAGATTTACCTTCACTTCCTGTCCCATGGCCAAAAAGGAAGTGAGAGGAAATGCCTGCAAATTAAGGGAATTCATTGGGGACCCCCAGGTCATCAGAACTAGTGTCCCCATTGGAGGATTTCCCCTCTAATACTTTTCTGAGACAACCCAAAATAAGGAATTTTCTTTTACTTTACTTTTAATGATGATGGGAAACAGAATAAATAGAGAGCATGAATCTTAACAGGGACACAGCAATAAAAACTGACAGGGTTTCAAAACCATCCCCACGCTATCCAAAACGTAAAAAAAAAAAAAAAAAGGTTTGTCTTTAGTTATACTTTAACATGGAGTTATCAGGATTTTTCAAAGGTCATTAGAGAGCATACCTGTTGATCCCTCATTAAAGTCTGACACATGTTTGTGCTGAAATCAAGCTGTCTCTTTATCTGGTCTATTTGCTCCTGCCAAAGTTGTTTTTCCTCCACCTGGGAAAGCTCAGACACCCATCTTAGGTTTTCTTGCCTCCGCATGCTAATATTTTGCTGCTGTCTTGTTCTGGGAGAGGGCCTGTAATTACCATCAACTGCATATGGATGCTGGCCTTTATAACTATGAACAAAAATGATGTAAAACAACTTACATTTGCAAAGCATATGTCACACAAGTAAATTATTTACTCAGAAAAAGAGAAAAAATAATTAAGTTGCTGAAAACTGAAATGTAAAAAAAAAAAAAACCACAATATTTAATGATAAAATGTGCAGCACATGGGTCATTAAAGGATAAGTTCATCTTAAAAAAAAAAAAAAAAAGTTCACTTTTATGTGCAGGTAAAAAAAAATGTGAATTCATTATTTAATTTGTAGGAGCCTGGATAGCATTGCAACCGTCAGTGTAACCTATCTAGTTCTACCTTGTACAGGCAGGCAGTTAAACAATGACAGGAAGAATCAACCAACTACCTAGAGCGCTTAACAGCACCCTGGTAGTTCATTGAGAACTACAAGCCAAGAGTCACAAAGGATGTCAATGCTTGAAGATTGCTCATATGTAGAATTCTGTGAATTAATGACACATCCTTGTGAGTGGAGCCCCTCATGGCCACACTCTTTTACACTTTTCAAATAGTGATAGCCGATGCAGGGAGAAGATCTTGACCCGCTTAGTGGGGGGGATAGGGAACAGCTGCAGGAGTAGGAACATGATATATGTTCCACCCTAAAAATGTGAGCAACATGCATGTTCCCAAAGGTAAACTTATCCTTCAATCTAATTTGTGGCTAGGAGGGGACATTTATGATTTGTGCACCTTTAGGCAGACTGTGGGATTTATCACAGAAATCTGTCAAGTATAAACATGGCCTCCCAAAAGGTCAGCCATTAAGTGTGACAATAAAAAAGCATTTGCCCAAAATCCAAGATACGTTTATATAGTGATATCTATGAGTGTAACAAGCTCTTCCAGGTCCAGAAAAAAAAAACAAAAAAAAAAAAAAAAAACACACTATACTATGCACATTTCCTTTTAAACTCAAAATATCCTTTGACTATCTGATGTAATTTCTTTTAACTGCCACCCATACATTTGAACAAAATTACATTTTACAAGCCAGATATTAGGCCCCTTCAACACGGATGTCATCCGTTCAGTCTTGCTTTTTCCAAAGAAAAAAAATGGATTCAGTTTACATCACTTTTCATGTCAGACAGTGTGCAGGTTCCCCCCAGGCCTGGTATTGATTTGAGGGGGGGGCCTTAGCCATATTTGTTTTATTTTTTTTAAATGGCAGGAGGCTTTCCCACATTCATCTAAGCAGAGTAGTTGGGTTCAGCGAGTTAATTTTTGTGCAGCCATCATTCATCGTGACCAATATGGATCTACATAGCTGGTTAACTTGAATGACGGATGGATCTACATCGGGGACATTTTTTCTTGTATTTTAAAAAGACTGTGTTGTGTATTTATTTAAAAGATTAAATTTTTCTGTAAATTAATAGGGGTATGTACCCTATACTCATTCACTTGAATCACCAATAAGTTAGCCCCCACATCCACCAGGCTGGGGCTGAAGGAAAGAGGCCCTCGTCCCCCATGTTGAGGGTAATTTGGTCTGGTATGTTTCAAGAGGAGGGGGATACCCCACTGACAGCAGAATGCAAAAAAAAAAAAAAGAAAGAAAGAAAAAAAAAAAAAAAAAGCGTGAGCCCCCCCCCCCAAATTCTTTCCAGGTATGTATTTGGGGGAAAGGGAGGGTGGGGCACTCTTTATCTACATTTCGCTGTCACTGGGGATGAGTTGTGGTTGTTAGGATGCCAGCAGGTGCTGGCTCCTTAACAACCAATGACTCCTTAATGCTGACAGTAGGGACGAGTCACTGGTTGTCAAGATGCAAATTGCAAACAAATAATATCAAGTGACTATATTGGTATCATAACTTTTTAGAATAATCAATTTAATGTCTACAATTATATTTAGTAGTGGTAGTAGATATGGTCATCTGCATCTGGGCAGAATGATATTATACAAAAAATTTTTTAATTTGTTTTAATTTTTTAAAATTTAGTAGTAGTAGTAGTAGATATTGTCACCCGCCTTGGGAAGAATGATTATAATAATATAAAATTTTAAATATATAACTTTGTTGTAGTATATATTTCTCTATGTAATCATATTGTATATTTGAATATAGCGTAGGCCCAGAAATTAGTATTGGTCTGATGTACAATACATTTTAAAAATACTTCATTTTTATAAATTTTGTATGTAAGGTAAACTTAATCCTTTAATACTTTATCCATAATAGGAGAACATTTTAGAATAGTAGCCAATAAATAATTTCAAATAACAGCATGGTAGCAGTGGTAATAGATACTAGTATCGGCTTATAGGTAGAATGTAGACAATATTTAAATATTGAGCGGTACTCATTATAGGATTTAGTAATTAAATATAGGGACATAGAGGTATTAATGATGTCAAGCTTGATGTTTAAGGTTTTGTACATTTGTAATTTTGAAATATTGGTTATGTGTAAATTATATTTCAATACTTTATATATTTTTAATATTTTTCAATATATAATTTTTAATATTTCTTCATATAAAACATTTAAAAAACATGCCAAATAAAATGTAATTTGTGTACATGTACCCTACATATAAACAGCACATAATATGTAGATGATTTTCCCCAGAAAAGTAAATTATGCCAACTGTGGGTTTTTATACACACCCTTAATAGGGTCAATGCTATCCAGTTGTCTAATACTAATGTTATTGGTCATCCAGTTGCCCAACATTTATAAAAAACTATTAATAATTGCCACATAAATAGATAGTGAGGGAGTGGAGTGAAATGGCAATGCAGCCAATCCATCTCAGAGGGATCTGTCACACTGCATGCCAGTCACACGTACTCCGATCACTAATAGATGAGCTGGACAAAAACATGGCCGCCATGCAGACTACTAGAAAATGGCACCCATAGGTCCTATATAAGTTAATGAGCACCGTGCCGTCCAATTAATTCCCCCTAACAAAGCCACATGACCCGGTGGCGTAACGCGTAGGGGAGGGGCTCTGACTTCACGACGCTTAAAAGCAACCACACAGCAAGTATATGGGAGTGTGGCAAACATAATAAGGATCATGCAAAATTGTACAAAAAGCGGTTTTTTATCTGTATACTATGTGAGTGAACTACATTTATTTAATATTTTTTTTAAAAAGAAGATAAGGCACTATATTTACTTTTTAAATACATGGTATATATACACATGGAGGAAAAAGTTTAAAAGGAGTCAAGAGACCCCCTAGTGGGAAGAGGGATAACTTCATCCATCTGCCTCCAGGAGAAAGATCTCTAGGAAACGACGAGACCGCCTGCTGGCAAAAAGTAAACTCTATTTATCCATCTCGGATTTATCTATTTGTCCACTTCTGAGCCCAATTAAAAAGGGACACAAGCTTGTATGACCTCACTTAATGGTTTGGTCATATACGTCAGGTGAGAGCACAACTGGTGAAGGAGCACAATATATATGAATTGGTGGACTATATTTGTTTTGTAATACACAATTAGAAGACACCATAGGACCATGGATTTGTTTGAAGATATGGATGCAACACTAGCGTGATTGCAATATCACGCCGTGGAAATTTATTAGGACTCAGTCACTTGATATTATTTGTTGTGTATATATATATATATATATGATTTGTTTAGACACACTGGTATGAGTATGTGTATAGTGTAGGCGACCCACTCATTTATTTAACTATTTATTTACTCAGTTATTTGCATATTAGTTTAATTGTTTAAATTATTGCACATATATCAAACATACGATGATATATTAAATAATATGGTCGATTTCTATACATATATTTCACCTAAAGTATACACCATAGTAGCTCAAAAGAATCACATATACAAAAATGGATCATTGTCTGATTATATCTGTTTAAGGCCGGTCTCATTTATTTTAAACACAGAACAAAAATAGACATGAACATATGTGGATGTAAACGGATAATAAACTATTCACATCTGTTTGCCCTTGAACGTCTATGTGAAAGGTGACTTAGAATACAAACATTTCATTAAGAAGGAAAAACCTGAGGTTACCCCTGTTTACTGTCCTTTCCAGTGCAGGCACTCTGATTGATACTGCTGTGAGCATACGTGACATTTTCATGGAATGTGTCCTCCTGCTCTTCCTCTTCCTCATCTTCCACCTGATTTACATCTGAAATGCAGTCATTCATCTTCATCATCCTCATCGAGTGCGCACTGGGTGGACCCTCCCCAAGTGGCCATAGTTCTAACAAAAAATTAAATTTAAGAGTAGATAATCCTGAAAAATCTGACCAATGTTTTTGTGATAAAATGTACTACTGGCATGTTCTAGCCACATAGGTTTACTACTCAGTGAGCTGGTAGGTTAATCGGCTACTATGTAAATTGGCCCTAGTAAGGGCATCTATGTGAGATAGGAACAATTGATTGTAAATTCTCCAAAGGCAGAGACTAATGTGAATGTAAAGCACTCTGTAAATTGACAGTGCCAAATAAATATTAAACCTGTACTAAACTTTTTTTTTTTTTTTTTTTTTAGCCACCTAATTATGTAAGGATTAATGAACTATTGCTGTCTGACCATACCCCTTCTGCCTAAACCAGCTCAACTGATCAGCAAAAATGTAATCTGGTTAAAGAGCTGGAAAATTTTGTACTTATTACATACTGCCCCAAAGTTTTTTTTCTTGTTTTTTTTTTTTTTTTAATAATTTGTGTTTTCAATGAAAATTTGTTTCCAGTAAAGAAACGTACATACATATTCCATTCCCACATCATATCTTTATTGCAGTAACATGAGATAGAAAGTTGGGGCAGTATATAAATTTTGCCTTACCTGTACATTATACATCTTGGGTTACAATATGGGACTTGCAGTCCTAGACCATGGGTTATATGCTTCTCCCTTTAGGTTACTGGACACTTGACAACGCTTTTCTTGAACACCCCCAGTGCCTACTCATATAACCCCACCCAATCTGTGGGGCTCCAGTTATGCAGAAAGGAGTAAGGAGAGAAAAAGAGCACAGGGGGACAGACTTGTGTCCTGTACTGTACACTAAAACATCCTCTCAACCAGGGTGCCTTGGCAAAATGCCCAAAAACTGTATACAAGCCAGCAGGTGGATCAATCCTGCCTTTTTAGTACACAAAGCCGCAGGTTTTCATTGTGTACTCTTATGACCTTCTAGCTGCCAGCATCCTAACAACCAATGACATCATCAGTTGATAAGGAGGACATCGGGTGCAGGCACATCATCCTTGTTTGGCCCTCCCCTGCCCCACTCCGTCAAACCGGTGCGATTTCAGGTACAATTTGGGAATTTAAATCACACCTGAAATTGCATCTAATGAATGTGAATGTTAGTGTCTTAACATGTGCCAATTCTAAGGTAGTTCTTGCATTACTTTTTCTGCAGTTTTGTGGCGATATCACATACATAGAAAATAATAGAAATCGCACTGCAAATTGTAAGAAATCGTTGAAAATCTTCACAAGTAGCAAGAAAGTCTTCAGAAATTGCACCTGAAATCATGCGAAAATTGCACACAAATCGCACGGTTTTAAAGAGCAGCAGTGTGACCGGTGACTTAGGGAGGGAAAACAGGACACACACTGGAATACTAGTCAGTACAAGTGTGCAAAGGTGTATTTGCTTTGGAAGAATAAATCACTTTTAACGTTGGGTGTACTGGATGTGTGTAGAATAGTTTTTTTACATTTTAGATTGGGGTGCCTTGAGATTGTGCAACAGTTTAAAGGGTGCCTTGAGATTATACATAATCTTAAAGGGTGCCTTGACTGAAAAAGGTTGAGAAGCACTGCTCTAAAATATGGAATTTACAGACAAGTAAAAAATTAATTATCTTAATCATACAGAAAAAGGACATAGAACTTGCAGTCATGGACCATGGCTCGTCCCCAAGTAATAACCGGAGAGGTGGGCAAAATAGCAAAAACAGAAAAAAATAGGCCCATAAAAACCAAGGGTCAACAAACCCAAAACATTCAGATGACAACTATAAGTGTCTTGTGGCAAAAGCACGAATTAGCAGAGCCCTGGAGGTCCACCTAGTAAAACTGAGAAGGTATGAACACGTGGCCGACCTACAAACTTGCAAAACAGATGCTTGAAGCTGAAAAGTCCAAGATACACAGAAATGGGCCCTGGTACGGAAGGGAAGGACTCATTCCTTGAGGCCATAAGCTCTGGAAATGAACTCCCTAAGCCACCTATCAATAGTGGGAGAAGTAACAGGAAGCCCCTTCTTAGAACCTTCAGGGAGGACAAAGAGATTCCGTTTTTCTAAAGGAAGATGTTGCAGCTTGGTGGACCCCAACTGATCTGACTACATCCAGGTAATGGCAAAAAATCTCCTTGGCATGTTTTGGGGCAGGAAGGAGGGTCTAGGTCACAGGACCACCTTGTCTCCCTACGATATAAGAAAAAGGAATTTTGACTTACCTCTAAATTCCTTATCTTCCAGTACAGTACAGGACACTAATCCACTCTCCCCTCTGTGCCTGTGTTACCCTGCATTGCTCACTAATAATCTGAGCATTCACACATTGGGGTAGGGTTATAGCAAGCAATATATTACTAAGAGATTTACAGGTAAGTCACATTACACAATAATCATGCAGTACACCCCAAGCAATGAATAAGAAGGGTGGGCGACAACAAGGCAAACAGAACTGTGCCAACAGGCCCAGCAACAAGTTTCAACAGACCCAACTCTGCATGCTGCAGCAAGAACTTTTGCGACAGAAAAGCTGCATTTGCAGAAGCTAGGATTTGTGCCTGGCCTTGCAAAGCAGAGCAATAGAAGCTTGATGTTGGAATGCCTCCTTTGTGAGGCCCCGGCAAGACAGAGAATCTGTCTTTTATAGAAGCTTTAGCTCTTAGATAGCAGAGCCAATGTACAGACAAATGAAAAACAATCTCTTTGGGGTGCTTAGGAACAGGGCACAAAGAGGTAAGGACAATGTTTTCATTAAGGTTAAATACCACCTTGGGTAGAAAGGCAGGTCTTGAGCCCAAGACTGTTTTGTCTTTATGAAGGATAAGACATGAGAAGGAGAGACCTACTAAATCAGAGACACATTTGACAGGTCTGATAGCCACTAAGAAGGCCATTCTGCGGGACAGACCATTCAAAGAATTCTCTGATGGGTTCTAAGGGTGGTTTGCGCAGGCATAGAATCAAATCATGGACAATGATGAAACATGCTCATTGTGGTTACTTAAAGTGGTATTATACCCAAAAGCAAACATCTAATAAACCCGAAACTGTTGAATCTACTTATTAACAAAATTAATAGGAATATTTTGCTAGGTCAAATCTACTGTTTTTATATTAGTACATTAAATACTATTAAAGCGGTAGTAAACACAGCTTGGACACTTACCTGTAGGTACAGGAATATCACCTACTCATGCACTGTTTAGAGGATATTCACTGTTCCTGCAGCTGCTGACGTCACCAGTGCATGCTCTCTGAAGGGATGGCATACTTATGCTGTCCCTTCAGAGCTCTGTGCTACAGCCATAACTCTCGTGTGCATGCGCAGAAGTGATGTAATCGCGGTTTGGAGATTCAGACGGCCACAGCCTGCAAACCAGGAGGGAAGACCAGGTGAAGATGGAAGCCCCGCCAGCGGTACAGCGCATCGAGGGACTCTGCCAGACATCAACACCATAAGTTCCTGGCAATATAGTAGTTCAGCTAGTTCGGATACTTTAGGACGTGATGGGTCCATATTCCGACAACTTACTTTTCAGTTCGGCTTTGATGATGAAGGCCTTGCGTTTCAGAGTCGTCACTTCTTAAAGAGCCAGCTGATGTGGTTTCTGCGAGTCCTTGTCTCCGCTGATGTTCAGCCATCAAAGACTCCAGCTGCTTTCTTCTTTGTCGCAAATCTTCTCTTAAAATTTGGTTCCAGCGAATCTCTGACCAAACCTTTTAATAAATGAAAATGTGTTTTTTTTTTTTAGGAAGTCATCCAAATCCAACATAATGATTCCCTATTTTTTGGTAAATGTTGGTATGTAGGTAGATTGGCTGGCAGAAGAATAAAGTAGCTAGATCAATCGTGGTCAACTTCTTGATAAAGGAGGCCTCTTACAACACTGAGAGACTGCACATAATATTTAGTGAATGTAATGCTACAGAAAGCCATTAGAGTCTACAGGCATGATGCAAGAAATAGAGATAGTGAACACTCACAAAAAATGAGGCAATAGCGAGAAAGCATGAAAAAAAATACATCAATAAATAAGCAATTTAACTATTATCAGACTAGAAATTATTTTCCTTCCCTGGTGTGTAAGCACCTAGGTAAGGAAAAACAGACTACTGTCTATAGCATAAGTGCTAAAGGGCCACAGGCTAGGAACCAGGGAGAGGAAAACAGCCAAGATGTAAACTAAGATTTAGATTTCACAAAATGAAATTTATCTAAAGAGATTAGCTTTAGATATTAGCATACCTCATTATCCACTGATGAAGAGTCCTCAGGGTCCGGCATGTTTGGAATGGCTGCAGCACTGCTTACATTAACTTCTGGAGTTGAAGAAGCAGTTGGTATGTTCCTGGCTGTTGGGCCTAATTTAAAACTAGATGATGACAACTGATTGAAAGAGGAAAGAGAAATTCAAATGAGAGCACAATCCTTCTTCAGTCACTCTTTCTAGAGCAGGTTTAACTACCAAGGTGTTCTTGGAGCATAAATTATACATTTAATTTCCTGACTACCTATTATCCTTTAGAAGGCCCTGGAGAACCAGGACAATGGAATTACCCCATTTTGAGAAGCAAACACCCCAAAGTATATTTTAGGAGGCATAATGAGTCTACATGAACATGTCATTTTTTTTCCACAAGTTTTTGGAAAATGTGGAAAGAAAATGAAAAAAAAAAAACGTTTGTTTTTTTTTTTTAAACAGTTTTTGCATTGCCCTATAGCAGAAATATTGCTACAGGGCGGAACGGGTGCGCAAAATCACGTATATATGTGTGATTGTGCAGTTCCAGGTAGGGGGCACGTGCGCCGCCATTCGCTGCCTCAGCTGTCAATCACTGGGTCCCACCGAGTGATTCCCCACCGGCACCTGGCGATCCCTGAGGATTTCAGAAAGGGGGGAGACCTGTATGTAAACAAAACTGATCTCTCCCGTCAGCTCCTGCACACTGCTTTGTAAGCCAGCAATGTGCTTACAGTGAAACACACACACAGCACACATAGTAAAACAGCACACAGTTAACGCTTTGATCGCCCGTTAACCCCTTCCTGCCCAGTGCTTTTTTATTAGCACTGATCGCTGTATTGGTGTCACAGGGGATGTAAGTGAAACCAAGTCAATTCCCCCCAGTGTCAGAATGCCTGCCGCAGTCCTGCTACAAGTTGCTGATCGCCGCCATTACTAGGTTAGAAAAAAACAAAATTCTAGTATGTATACACCGCCATTTGTAAAAGCTATCATAAACCAATTAATTTACACGTATTGGGATTTTTTTTTTTTTTTTTAGCAAAAACATTTAGCAGAAAACATTTTGGCCTAAATTTATGACAAAATATGCTTTCATTTTTTTACTGGACATGTTTAATAGCAAAACGTCAAAAACTGTTTTTTCCCCCAAAATTGTTGGTATTTTTTTTATTTATAGCGCAAAAAAATTAAAGACACAGGCGATCAAATACCACGGAAAAAAAGCTCTATTTGTGGGCCATTACTAGTATAAATTAAAAAAAAATTCCAGTATATATACTGCCATAACTTTCACGTAAACCAATTAATTTACACGTATTAGGATTTTTTTTTTTTTTTTTTTAGCAAAGACATGTAGCAGAATACATTTTGGCCTAAATTTATGAAATTTTACTTTTTAAATTTTTTACTGGAGATGTTTAATAGCAAAGTCAAAAATACTGGGTTTTTTTTTTTTCAAAATTGTTGGTCTTTTTTTTTTTTTTTTATAGCGCAAAAAATACAAAACACACACAGACGATCAAATACCACCTAAAGAAATACCAAATTAAAAAAGAAAAAAGCGCCATTTACAAAAAAACACCAAAGTGTCAGCAGCATATCCCACCCCAAATAAATTTTGGCAACAATAATCCTAATTAAAAAGGTATGCGCTAATAACAAACTTATACAAAAGGTGTATATCATCATCCAAAAAAACATTTAGTGTTTTAAATAAATTATAGTGACCAAACATAAATTAGTGTCCAAAAAAATATATATATATAGATCTTCAGTGACTTGAACCAAATTGTGAAAAATCCACCACCAAAAGGAGATTAAATGAACTCACCAGAGCTAATGGCTGGTCAGATTATAAACTAGCAACAGCACTTGTGCTCTGGGAGCAATGAACCCGATGTCCAAATAGATATGGTGATGTTTCAGATACTTCCGGATAGTAATAATCACAGACAAACAACTTTGCAGCCCAAGCTCTTATGATGAACTTCTCCACTCTCTCATATCTCCATGAGAGCATACAGTACACTCAGGGACAAAAAAAGAGAACATGATGGTGCAATATGTTTTTTCATTTATTTCTTTAATAAAAATGGTATAAGGAAACTCACAAACAAGGTGTCCAACAGACACCAGCTTCAATCGCAAAAAAGGTGAGATACAATTACCGCTCACCGCAGATCTCTCCCATACAGCACAGAACAGCAAGGCTCTCTAATGTCCACATTGTGTAGGCCACGCCCCTTGATGACGTCGGTGTGACGAAACCGGTAGGGCGTGGCCTACACGATGTGGACATTCGAGAGCCTTGCTGTTCTGTGCTGTATGGGAGAGATCCGCGGTGAGCGGTAATTGTATCTCACCTTTTTTTGCGATTGAAGCTGGTGTCTGTTGGACACCTTGTTTGTGCGTTTCCTTATACCTTTTTTATTAAAGAAATAAATGAAAAAACGTATTGCACCATTATGTTCTCTTTTTTTTGTCCCTGAGTGTACTGTATGCTCTCATGGAGATATGAGAGAGTGGAGAAGTTCATCATAAGAGCTTGGGCTGCAAAGTTGTTTGTCTGTGATTATTACTATCCGGAAGTATCTGAAACATCACCATATCTATTTGGACATCGGGTTCATTGCTCCCAGAGCACAAGTGCTGTTGCTGGTTTATAATCTGACCAGCCATTAGCTCTGGTGAGTTAATTTAATCTCCGTTGGTGGTGGATTTTTCACAATTGGTTCAAGTCACTGAAGATCTATATATATATATATTTTTTTTTTGGACACTAATATATATTTTTTTGGACACTAATTTATGTTTGGTCACTATAAATTATTTAAAACACTAAATGTTTTTTTGGATGATGATATACACCTTTTGTATAAGTTTGTTATTAGCGTATACCTTTTTAATTAGGACCACCTAAAGAAAGCTCAATTAGTGAAGAAAAGGATGAAAATTTAATTTTGGTGCAGCATTGCATTACAAAATTGCCTGGAAGGGGGGATAAATCCTGTGGAGGGCAAGTAGTTAATACAAAGTTGTCCATTTATAAAATATTTCTAACACATAGCACAAACATACCAAAAATTACACTCCAAAATACATTCTGCTACTCCTGAGTAAGGCAGTACCCCACATGAGTGAGACTTTTCCATAGCCTCTCCACATAGAGAAGCCCGATATCCAAGTAGCACCTTTAGGTGTTCTAGGGTCAAAAATTACACATCTAATTTTCTGACAACCTATCACGATTTTGAAGACCCTAAAGCACCAGGAAAGTGGAAACACCCACAAAATAAACCCATTTTGGAAAGCAAACACTTTAATGTATTTTTTGAGAGGCATAATGAGTTTTTGGTATATGTGGAAAGAAAATGAAACTTATTTATATATGTATTTATTTATTTTTTTTTACACAAAGTTGTCCACTTAGAAGATATTTCTATCACAAAGCACATACATACCAAATATTACACACAAAAATACATTCTGCTACTTCTGGCGATACAAAATGTGCAAGACTTTTTCACAGCCTAGCCACATAGAGAGGCCCAACATCCAAGGAGTACCATCAGATGTTCTAGGGACATAAATCACACATTTTCCCTGACAACTTACAACATTTTTGAAGGCCCTTCATAGTCCAAACACGGTGTGTACATACCAAGAATTACACCCCAAAATACATTCTGCTGAACAAAGGGTAAACAAAAGATTAACTGTGGTTTTAGTAGTGCAGTTGTCCAGAGAAGAGAGCATTGGTCCAGGCAGCAGACAGGGACGTGGTCAGCGACAGAGAAATTAATTGTCCAGGCAACAGGCAGGAATATTTTCCATAGTCAGTACAGGCAGAAATATTGTCAGCACAGCCAAAGCATTGGTTCAGGCAGCAGGCAGAAATGTGGTCAGCAACAGCCAAAAAGAATTTTTCAGGGAGACACATGGTCAGAACAGCCAAACTATTAGTCCTGGCAGTAGGCATAGGTCCATAGTCAGTACAATATAGCAGGCAGAGGTGTGGTCAGCTCATGTGGCAGGCAGAGGTATGATGGCATGCCAGGGTAAGATGGCACCAGGCAGAAATATAAGGCTTAGGGCCTTGTCAGGTAAGACCTGGGCACAGGGGTAGAGGCTTCTTCCTACCCAAATCTCTTCGAAGCCTCCGGTCTCGAGACCCTAATCCGAGAATTCCAAATCCTAGAAACCAAAACCCCTCATATATGTGAGACCCCCTGTGTTATCTTGAATCCCACTACTAAAGTAGCAGGGCAAAAGATCAGTCCAAGCGGTAGGTAAGAAATGTGGTCAATTAACAGGCCAAGGTCAGTTCAGGTGGAAGGCAAAGACATGGTAGATTATTCAGGCAGCAAGCAGAGGCATCATCAATAAACAGGCCAGGGTCAGTTCAAGGGCAGGCAGAAGTATGGTCAGCTTAGGCGGCAGGCAATGGCGTGGTCAGATAACAGGCTAGGGTCAGTTCAGGAGCAAGCAGAGGCTTAAGGAGTGTAAAGGCAAATGGCAGAAATTTAGAATTAGGTTTACTATAATTCACTAATATTGTAGCGAAGTATGGTAATGGCAGAAACAGTCACCTATGCAGAGGACTGGTTGGGACGGACATTCGGGACAATAATAACTGGTGTTTCGTCTGACTCCTCCTCTGGAGCACAACAGACTATGTTTTATGTCTATGGCCTTTTTCTCTGTGAAGGACTTTAATCGGAAAAATGGTGTTTGTGAAGTTTGCCTACTGCAGCCAAGCAAATGCTTTTTACTGGGCTGTCCAGGTACACAAGAGCAGTGATGATTTCCTCCTGATAGCGAAGAAAGTATACGGGTCTTATAGTGGATTTGCGGAATATCACATATGAGTTATATATTGCCATATTAAAAAAATAAAATGGAGACTTTCTTGTACCAATGGTAAGTTATTCTTGTTGTAAGGTAGGGTTGGATCATCTGATCATTGAAGGCAACTTCCCCCATTAACAAATTGTAATTATGCACACATTCGGGTTTCTGGACTGGGCTATTCCTTCCAGTGATTTGCACGCAGGTGTCATTGTGGGCTAAGGAAAGCATGTAGATGTCTCTTCTGTACCGCCACTTCATAGCCAATATTTCCACAAACTCCCCAATTCCC